TTCATATTTATCATCTGGACGTGGACTTCTAGGTCTATGAAACCAGCTTTGCGAATTAAATCCTGATAACAATTTTTTTTTCAGTTTTATTTTTATTATCTGAACTCAATTTACCTTGAGTTAGTGCATTGTATCTTTCTTTCTGCCGATCCACTACAGGCCTTTTTTGAAAGTTTCCGCAAACGTTTTCATAGGCATCAAGTTTTTCAGCTGATTTTTTAGATGAAATCATCTCTACCCACTCATCAAGAAAATGATCTCGAATTTCAGGAGGAACTCGACATTTAAGTTGGTCAATCACCATCAAATCTAGCAACTGATCAAAAGTCTTAACTCCTAGACCAGTAACCCATTCCTTGCAATAATTTTCTATTTCATAACTGAAATCCACCCATGTGGATTCGGTACTCTTTTGATGTTTCATAAATTTCTGCCTAAACTTTTCCGGGCTTAGTTTAAACCGTCTTAACAATAAATTTTTCACGTGTTCATAGTCTTTAGCTTTATCAGAGGGTTCTCTAGCTATTAACTGGGTTACTTCGTAAGGAAGTAGTCCTAGTAAATGAGATAAAAATTCTTCTTTATCAATTTTAGCCCATTCTGCTTGCCTCTCAAACAATAGCAAATATAGAATGATATCTCCTTTCTTACCATCAAATTTCTGCATAAGGTGATGCAGCTCCGTTTTCGGCCGGATCTGTCCGGTATTTTGAGACTTTCTCTCTGCTTCAAGTCTTAATCTAATTCATACTGTTCGTTCCTTCTCCGCTATTCTGCTTCTTTCTGTCTCCTACGTTCTTCTCTTTCCGTTCTTCTATTATTGTGTCTAAGACTCCTTTGACGAATACTTCATCATAATCTCTACTTTCAACAATTTTCTGTTTTAAATCAACTATTTTCAAATCTGCAGTCACATGAACTCCCAGTTCAGCTGCGAGATTTTGCAAATCTTCCTTACGAGCTCTTCCCAAGTAAGACATTTTTTTTTATGTTTAAAATTAACGAACACTGTGTTCTTTATATTTCTTCAAAATAGCTCAATTCAATTACTTTAATTAATTAATGCAGTCAGGAATCACAAAATTAAATGCACTTTGTTAAGTACGTATACCTCAAAAATGAAATATTTAAATTATATCAAGTTCATTCTCTTTACAACATTAATTGTGATTAAAATAAGAATAATAACATAGAGCAATATATATATCTACCGTCTGGACAACTAAAATGAATATTAAATATAATATCAAATACAGTAACAAAATAAGACAATTTATTATTAACAGGAAGTAATAATAATCTGGTATCACTAATATTGCGTTCAGTGATGAACTAATAACATAAAGCAATCCTATATGAACAGGAAGTAATAATCTGGTATCACTAATATTATGTTCAGTGATGAACTAATAAAATAAAAATATGCACGATTATTCGATCTCGGTCGGTGCCTCCAAAATAATTAGGACTGTAATACTTCTTTGGCAATATGAAGCAACTCCAATGATGGAACACAGAAAAAACTTTATTTAGCACTCAAAATGGCGACGTACAAACAAGAAGAGAAAACATATTCTAACATTTAAAAATAAATTACATTCTTCGTGTGAGAGTCGCACGAGGCACTCGAGTTTGGTTTCAAATATTGCCATTCACAAATACCTTAATGTTCATCTACTTAAATTATTTAAACTACAAGATTTTAATACTATTAAAAGCTGTTACAGTCCCAATATTGTTTATAGGACTAGAGATTGAAATGTCCTGCCAGGTAAGTTTCCTATTTGAAGAATCCATGAAGTCAATTATGAGATGGGAAATAGCCGATAGTCTTGTGGACAGAACTAGAGAAGTAAAAATAGAGATAACTTGTTTTCCCAGTCTTGTTGGTATGGGAACCACAAGTGAGAGGTTATCAAGGATGGTTCAATTAAACCTCTTCACCATGCAGTCTGACTGGGGATGTAAAGGTGTCATTTGACTTTTGTCGATGCCGAGTAGCTTGCAGAGTTATTTAATTAAAGCCGAGATAAAATTCCTTCTTTGATCGGAATGTAACTGAAGAGGGTACTCCGAACCTGAAAATCAAATGTTGTATAATTACCTCTGCTGTAGTGACAACCTTTTGATCAGTGATAGTACAAGCTTCAAGACATTTTGTGAAGTAATCAGTGACAACGAGGCTGCATTTCTTGACGTCAGGAGTTTGTGACAGAGGTCTCATTATATTAAAGGCTATGTGTTCAAGAGGCAATCCTACATTGCAATGTTGCAGCTTCCCTCAGCTGTGTTTCTTTGGTTCTTTCCGATGTGCACACGATTGGCACCATTTTTGCACATAAGCCCTTTCATTACTCGAGATGAAGAGCTCTTGAAATCTATGTTAATTCTTCATTATCCCAAAGTGGCTTCCTGTAGGGCTGTTATGTAGTTATTTAAGAAGCGGTCTTAGCTTCCCTGCCTTGCGGTGTTCTGTAGTTCCTTTGTACCACACCACACTACTTCGTATCTTCCTTCAGCACCGCAGTTCCAGTACTTTAATAATGTCTATCAATTTTTAACACTGCATATAAATAAAATTATACAATCTTCAGCAAATTTTCTGTTTGCAGAAATAAGTTGGCATGTAATATTTTTTATGTTGTAGATGAATCTAACATAAGAGTGATTTATTCACAAAAGTAATCTTAGCAGATATTAAATCTATCCACTGCCAGTGAGATATGCCATTCTGAACTTTTCCTGCGGGATCTCAGGAGATGATCCTTATGCACATTATTTAAATTACATAGCAGAAAACATATAAAATTATTACTTAAAAATTCAACAAATTATTCTTTTCACATGATAGATTATGAATAATTTTAAGACTTCTTAATATATAATGATTATTTATGCAGTGAAAAGATTCTTCACTAATATTAGCCTAGAAAACAATTTTTGACTTTTAGCATTAAAAAAATTGCATTAAGGAATCATGTTGTTCTCAAAATATTAATGTTTGAAATCTAATTCTCAAACGTGCAAGCCCATTTTTGAAATTTTGGCAAAACCGAAATTATCATCTTGGTTGCCAATCTGTTAGTTTTAATCTTGTGCTATGTTTTTTAAGTTGAAATCACGGTAATTTTCCATGAATCAATCATCTCAGAAATTGGAAATTACACGGCTTATTTAATATCACACAACTTCACTCTTACCTTCATTACGAATATAAAAAAATTCTGCTCTCCCTTCCCAAAGAAAATAATACCTAATTTATCTCATTTTTATTTTTAAAATTCAGACCTTCGTAAACTTACTGCTACAAAATTTGCACTTTTGTTTTAAAATATTACCAATTTCAGAAATAGAAAAAATTTAAATGACCAGCACTACAGCTGCTGCAGTGGTCAAAATAACCACTGCCAAAGATTGCATCTTTATCCCTTCCACAGGATTTTAATTTTAAAGTCGAAATTCCATGACTTTTCCTAAAATTACCCAAAAGTACAGCACATGAGATTTTAGAAGAAATATACTTTAGGCTTGAGTTTAGAGACATTTATATCTAGAATTATGACTGTAGTTAATTTGATTGTTGTTTTAATATATGGCTAAGAACATATGAAAGTATGTTATTTATCCTAAATAATCTTTGTTATAATACGATAAAATATGCATAAACAAAATTTTTTTTTTTAAACACTGTATCCACCTACATTAACTAATACTGTGATGAGTAGGGAAGATTCTGAAAAATCTTTTTCCAGTGTGCTTTTTCCAAGACGATATATTTAAGAGCAGTTTGTTAAAATACATATAAACTGATTTTTATTATTAGGAAAGTTAAGCTGCATCAAAAAAGGAAGGTCCTTCACATATATTATCAAGTTTACAATATCGGCATTAACAATTTCCTTGCTTTTCTAATACAAACAAAGAATTTAAAACCTATAGAAACAAACTCAGCTATTTCAATGAATAATTTCAGAAGAGAAGTATTCACTTCTAGCAAAATGTTCTGGAACTGTCTTGTACACATTGAGTGATATAAGAAAATGGTCACATATTGACCATATTTGAAGAAATATTAGATAAAAGTATCCTGACACTGATTTCTTTACATTCAAATAAAACAACCTACCGATACGATTTCCAATTCTCAACAACATAAATTGCAACAAAGTGTGTGGGTGTTTTAACCAACATGGAAAAATGTATTCTGTAAGAGTAATTTCTAGACAATAGGCAATTAACTTAAAAGATAATTTTTTTCTCTAGCTGCAGTGCATGTGTGATTGTTTAGAAGGAAGTAATTCAATGCAGATACATTACCAGAGTCCCAAGTTCCTGTTCACAGACTGGGACCTATGGAATGGGGCTTTATGTTATATTTATCTATTATATTACTTTTATCAAACAATTTTCAGTCACTTCTAAAAAAAAATTATGAAACAATTTCATCACTGAGAATTCCATTTTTCTCCTTAATAGAAAGAAATTTCACATTTTTTAAAGCTTTCATATGCTTGTAAAAAAAAAAAAAAAAAAAAACTGTCACTGTTTTAAATATAAAAGAATTTCTATGTTTTTAGCATTAAATCGACACCCTCCATTCCATTATTCAATAATAAACCACTGCTCACTTGTAGCAATGTAGGTTCTCAATGTATTTACTTCAAGGGCCTAGTATACCCATGTAACTCGTCACCTGTCCAGCTTTCGAGTATGTTAGCAGGATTGAATTTACAATTTCCAGTATCTTGGTTGTGATGCACAACTAATAGATTTCCTGCTGCAGAGATTACACAACAATATCTTAAGCATAATAGCAGACCCATTGTCCTCATTGACAAATACAGTCGATAAAGACGATGCTCAAAATCAAATATTTTTTCCTTTAATTTTAGAATTACTTTTTGAAATTCTAAAGCACATCAGAGTTTAAAAAAGAAATTAAGGGAAAATATTGAAAATTTCATGTAACTGATTTATATGGCCAAAAAATGAAAATCCAGTTTCAAATGTACATATTTATTACATTAAAACTCAGGCAACACTACAGAAAATATACTTTTTATTTAATCCTCTCCCCAGACTAATCAGAATTTTAAAGTTTCTTTGAACTGCATTTAACAAACACAGCAGTTGAAAGTAATGGGGGACAACAAAAAAATTAAATTCAATTTACAGTTTTAAGACATATTAGAACAGAAAACTACATACAAAACAAACGCTATAAAGGCATATGCTGGCATCTTATAAAACAGCAATGATTATTCTTTCACTTATAAACAAGAACAGCTGCACATTTAGCATCACACAGAATCAAATGTATTACTTTGATTAATATTCTCATTAAAAATCATGATTTAAATTTGATACATAGATACATGAAAGTTCAATTCAAAAGTGGTCAACTCTAAAAGTTTTTTTTTTTCTTTATATTATTTTTATGATTGTATTTAAAAATCACAACTAACAAATGACATAAAATCCTAGAGTTTTACTGAATATCTATTTCGAAATTTTAAAATTAAAATGCTATTACAATAATACATTGCACAAAATAAATATGTTTTCCTATCTCAGATGGATTTCAGCAATCAAAATTTTCCATACAGAAAATAAGCAAAATTATCATTTAGTTATATAATATAAAAAAAAATAAAATAAAAAAGTGCCAAGAAATGAAAAAGTCAAAAATTATTATATATCTAATAAGAAACATTAATAAATGGATGAAAGAATGTATACAGCATTTATTTAAAATACCTAAAAGAACCAGCACAAACATGCAGACTGTTGATGGCCGGCCAAAAACAAGCCACATGAATGAAAAGACTATTTAATATTTAATTTTGACAATTTAACATCAATATCCTGGTTGGTAGTTAAGAGCAGGACGGGGATAGCCAGAAGAAGGTCCACGAGAATATGGATTAGTTCCAGCTGGTCCTCCACTTGTAGGAGGGACAGGTCCCCCTGCTGGTCCAGGTGAGTAACCAGCTGGATATTGTTGCACTTGCCCCTGGTAAGTCTGAGATGTAGGTGGACCAGCATAGGTATTTGGAGCACCAGGCTGTCCTTGGTTTGGAGTTCCAGTAGGTGGTCCTGAGTATGGGCTTCCACGACTAGAATTTTAGAATAATTAAATAAAATTAGATATTTTATAAAAGTTGTGCCTTCAAATTATAATAATTACATAAAAAATACATACAAAGAAAAGTTCAATTGATTCATCCTAAGTATTGAGCATTAACTTGAGAAAATACCTTTGCATTTTTAAAAGCATTATAAAAGTACTATGATAATGTGAAAACCAAAGCTTTTATCATTAATATATTGATTTATCATATCATAACATATAAAGTACTTCCCAAAAGTTCAAATATTCCTTTAGAAACATTTATTACAGCTTACATTACACCTCTTTCTCCTTCACCACCTTCAAATATGTCTAATACAATATAAACATTAATCACAGTGTTGTTTCCCTCACCAGAAAAAAATTAACAAACCCATCTTTTATTACAGTATTCAGTATTTCTAGCAATGTAGCAGAATGTAGAATCTGTAAAGGAAAGATTATTCTTTCCTTTACAGATTATACATGTGAAAAAGGATATATATATCTTCCATCTACAATATAAATAGTTTGTAATAACTGTAAAAACAAAGTTCATTTTAGAAATACAGAAAAGATTAAAAGTGCTGAATCTTGATTTAAATCCCGGAATGGTTTATGCTGTATGTTCTGCATGCAAAAGTTAAAACATCAGGGCAAATATTTTGGCCAGTTATGAATTTACTCTGATCACTGACAAAATTTGCTCCACAACTCAGTGTTACGCATTCAAAATCAGAGCATATTTGCTGATAAGAAAAATATGCTAAAGAATGTATATTTCTGATCTATGATAGCAGAAATACGTGGGCCACATTTGAAGGTACACAGAAGAAGCATGGCCATTTGTCACTATTGTCTATGACAGCAACAAGTCTGACATAGGAAAAATAAATTCACATTGTTTGGATATTTACGTTTTGCAGATGTCCCCAAAGAAATATAAAATATGTATATTGATACATGCATTGCTAACTATAATAGAGTAAGATGAGATATGAAAGTTACTTCTGTGAGAGAAATTTTATGCAAACTGCAAACTGTATGATGAACGTGATGTGAAATATCTGATTTATGGAGATTTGAAGACTTATAAAGCTACAGTATCTTTAAAAATACACTCACTTCCAAAAGTTAAGCACGAAGATGTAAAATGCAAAAAAATCAACAAATACTGCTTTGATTTACACAAATATTCGGCAGGAAAGAAGCATATATATTTATGCATAAAACAAAATAAATAATTATACACAGAAATGAAAACAATATTAAAGTTATCAGATAATGGCATACTGGAGACAAACAGAATTATGTATAAAGTGAAAATAAACAGCATAAAATGGAGAAAAAAAAGGGGGGGACATTAATAGGGTATGTGATCCCCCCCTCCATCTGTATACAAAGTTTACACCTTGTGAACATGCCTTCAATTAGGTTGTCAACCACCACAGAATTAAGCAATTGCCATTCTTCTTGTAGAGCAGTTTCCAGCTCAATAAGAGTGGCTGGAGGTGGGAAACGTGAAGATGCAGCACGGCCGAGAGCATCCCAAAGATTTTCAATGATATTAAGGTCGGGCAAATATGCTGGCCATGCCATTTGCGCAATCCCTTCACTCTCCAGGTAGTCATCAACGATGTCAGCTCTAAGGGGATGTGCGTTATCATCCATTAAAACAAAAGTAGAGCCAACTGCTGCAGTGTACAATCTCATAATGGGTTCTAGGACTTCATTTCGATACCGGAGAGCCATCAAAGAACCCCGTTTAAAGATGTGCAGGTCAGTACGGTATCCTAATGAAATCCCTGCCCACACCATAATGCTTCCGCTTCAATGCGTGATGTTTTGGGACTGACTGTGTGTTAGTTGTTCATGTCATATCTTTATACGCTTGTCATCTGGCTTCAGAGCAAATCTTGACTCATCAGTAAACATGACATTGCCCCAGTCAGACACATTCCAATTGACATGTTCCCAGCACCACTGTAATCGTGCCCCTTTTGATTGGACGGACAGAGGAACACGAACTCGAGGTACACGAGCGTACAGTCCATTCATATGTAATCTTTGGCTGGATGCTGTAACCATAGATGTCACATGTGTGGAGGTTGCTCTGCGATTCCGCTTGGCTACAATAGCAATATATCGATCTTCCGCAGGGGTTGTAACCCTTGGGCGAACGGCTACAGGCCTTCAGATAACTGTCTGTATCGTTTGGAATTGTTTCCATAAATGTGAAATTACAGAATGATGAACGCCGATGAAAAGAGCAACATCTGTGATCGACTGTCCTGCTTCAACAAGCCCCACAGCACGCCAGCGCTCAGAATCTTCCATTCGTCTTCTGGAAGCCATAGAAACACGTATGTCTTGAAAACAAATTGTACAAAAGTTTTAAACACCTTCTATCAGCACTTACAATCAATTTCTGTCACTCTTCATAAAGCTGGCTTCATATAAGACTGCCTTTTTTACATATTTCTTGACATGAAAGCATGATTGGCTGTTACCTAACATATTTGCATACTTCCATCTACCTCTGCAACGAATTGCATCGTCTTCAATTCTGATTGGCTTCCAGAAACTAGCATTTTCCTCTCCGTGCTTAACTTTTGGGAAGGAGTGTACATAGAAACACGGACTGAAAAATCACACTGCATAGGCTACATTAAAGAAAGAACAAGATGCTGCCAGCATAAACTGGTGTGTGTGGGGAAAAGCATTGGTGAAAAACGTAGTGATGGAAAACCATTAAGAGGGAAAAATAAACTGACTAATGCTTTTGAAAATGCAAAAACATTAAGATTTAGAAATTAGAAAAAATGCTGGTTCAAAATATGTATCTAACTATATGCACAGAATATTTTCAATTGCTATAAAAGAATTTAAATTTGAATCATGGACTTCATCTAATTGGAAATGGAAGCTGATGCAGATTTCAAAATGAACTTTCTAAAGGAGAAATTTATGACCAATACAAGCAAATGCATTGTAATGCTTTTTAAAGATGCAATTATGCCCATTCAGAAACTTTGTTAATCCAGAATAATTAAAAAATATATAACATAACATTAGGGCACTTCCTTCTTATGAAAAGAAGGAAAAGAGCTTAGGCAATGTTGCCCATTGCTCTTCCGCCATTTGATCATTTAAGTCAAAGGTTTTAAATGGTAACTCTCGTGCAAGGTAAATAATAAATAAGTAGATAAGATCCCAAAATGACACCAAATATATAGTATCAGCAAAAGATTTCACCTCTAAATTCAGGGTGTCGGTTAAATCTCTAAAAAAACATATACCTGGAAAAACTCAAAATCCCAATGAATTACTATTACTACTACTCAGTGGCGCAACAGCCCAGTGAACCATATCTACACACCGAAAACTGTGTTTGCATTCATTAAGACTTAAAACTTCAGAGTGTTCGATGTAGTTTTCTTCATTAATGATGGAAATGTAATTAAGAATCATATTTTAAAATTGGGATTAAACAAGACTCCCACTTTGTGAACATACACTCAAGAAATTTGATTAGGAATGCTTTATCTATGGACAGTACTAACTAACGGTTATACCATAAAATGACCTGATAAAAGAATAAAATTGGAAAAAAAAAAAAAAAAAAAAAAAAAAAAAAAAAAAACCCAAAGACACTTTTTATGAACAAGAAATAAAGGATTATTCTTGAAAATCAAGATTTCATTAAATTTTAATCCAAAATGTTTAAAAGAAATTCAGTTAGAATATTTAAATGTGTTTATCTCTAAATATGGATTTTTAAGGTTTATGTACTGATGAAATTTAATGAACTATGATCTATAATGTTATGTTTCTGCAAGTTTCCTGATATCTCTGTGTTTTGCATATTTTTAATGCAAAGATTTTATGATTTGTTGAGAATTATACATTTTAGAAATTTCTGAAAGTACTGAAAAAGGTAAAGTGAAAGTGATTGTCAGTTAAAATTTTCTATTAAATTATAATTTTCAAGTAGGAAAGCAACCGGATAAAGTACCATTTTAACACCATAAAAATTTTATATTCTTAATCTCTAAGAAAAAATATATGAAAATGCTCAACAAAGTGCTGAAAAAGCAAATATGACTTGTTTTAAAAAATCATTCCAATCAATTCTTATTCACTGTGCTATACATTTCTTGCTAATTTATGTAGTATCATTTTGGCCTTTCAGTGTTTTCTAGACCAGTGTTTTTCTCAACCGCCAGTCCGCAAGAAATATTTGCCAATTATTTTTGTCTTCATGATTTATTCATGTGAAAAAATTGTGCCAATGGGTTGAATTATTAAACTTACCGGTCTGCGAGAACGTACCGAAATATTTTACCAGTCCTTGGAGTAAATCCAGTTGAGGAACATTGTTCTAGACTAACAAAATATCAATGTTCTAGATTCAAAATATCAATTTTTTTTTTAAAGTTACAAAAAAGTTTTAAAAAAATTATCATTTCATAGAAAACATTAGAAAATTTTTTACTAGTTATCCTTGACTTCTCTACAGCAGAAAAATGGCAGCACTTGATATTTCTCTGGATAAATGCTTCCTTTACATTAAAAAAAGGCATTTATTTGTGGAATTTATGTAAGCTCAGGAAATGTTGAATTTCAGATATGTGAAAATTCTAGATAACGGTTCTAAAAAATGTAAATAAGAGTAGAAAAGTTAAATGAATGTAAGAAATTCCTAGGCTAAAATTATTTTCAAGTTCATTAAGTAAATTTAACTGTCACCAACTTGAATATCAAACACTTACATTTTATGCGAAATTTTGAGAAGAAAAAAAGGCATTTCAAGCATAAGCATCAAAGTAAAACATCATATTCCATTATGAAACTCCATCAACCATGAAAAACTGATGAAGAGTCCACCCAATTTGTGCTTGTCATTCCGGCAGGTATTTGAAGGAACGGATTACTTACTCATTATTTAGTTAGATAATCAACGTATACAACTTATGCAGATAATACATTAAACAGGGTTCATAGCCA